CCGTTCTGGTCCCCCATCTCCTGCAGTCGACCCCTACATAATTTATGGCAAGTATTACATATTTATTATATTCTTTCTATTTCTTTTCCTTTGTTTTCCTCATTTTGTCTTCTTTCACAGTTGGACTAAGAAGCTATTGGTACCCCAAAGCTTTATCACAACTGATCTGTAGTTTTCGGTGACAACAAAAGGGAAAATGTTGCCGGAAGACCCACATGGTATTTTACAATAAGTTGAATAGAGTTTTTGTCCGAATGCTTTTAGATATAATGACTCAGTTTACCTTTTGGTGTTAGATGTAATGGTTGAATCCACAACCTTTGGTGAGCTTCATCTTGGAAAAAGCAATCGTTTCCTCATGGCTAGATTGTTAAACATTTGGTCAGAATATGAGTTAGATGGACCTAGATCTATTTCCTCCATGCATATGCTTTGGTTAGATAAAGAGGTAAAATTATAAACATTGAACATCTACTGGTTTTGGTCTTATAACATAACAGTTACTGTAAACTCATTTGTAATATTTGAACTCCTTTAGGGACAACTTATGGAAGGAACTGTGCCATATGAAGATTCTGCTCATATTTGCAAAGACATTAAGATCGGTTGTCTCTATACCATGATGAATCCAATCGTTATACCAGCTAGATCTGATCGTCGCACTGCAACTTCCAATTTGAGATTGTATTTTACAAAGGAATCTTCATTCAGAACAGGGATTGAACATCGGAGCACAATGCATTTTCCAGATGATTTTTTTTTTCAAAGTCCTGTCAATGCTACTGGTTCTTCAACAAGTCTTCCACCTTGCTTCTCAGGTATTTATTATTTATTCTTAACCATATATTTCAACAGGTTGTATTAGAAATTGATGTGTTAAATATTGTATATTCCAAATATCATACAGATCAAAACAACTAAAATATTTACATATTTCAGATATCACAGGATGTGTAACACATATCACCGAACCAGGTAAAGTCAATTCTGATACATTTATGTTCCAGATTTATCTTGAAGATATGAGGTACCACTTATAATTAGTTACTATAATATCTTACTGAATCCAGATTAGTTTATAATTATACTTATACTCTGTTTGCTAAATTTTTAGTGGAAACGAAGCACTTGTGAGCTATATTGGCACAAGAATTAAAGATTTCATTGAAAGTGCTACTGCCAAAGAATTTCAATATCCTTTGGTTGTGACAGCAACAGCACTCACCCGGAACATGCATGAATATGACCATATTCCACAATTCTGTTTTGCAACATCTCCTGGCAGTCGTCTTATAGTACATTCGTACAATCAGATGACCAAAGATTTAATGAACAGGTAAATGGTCATATGTATATGTTTAATTTTAATATATTTTGCATGTTTTTTCCTAGAAACAGTCTAATTTAACTTTCAAAACATTCTAGGTTCTTTCCTAATAGATTGCCTGTGGATATTATTGACTACAAGTCAAAAGAGCGGCTTGGATACCTTCGGCGAAAAATTCCGCCCAGAATCTCATTATTGGAATTGACCAACAAGCTGCCTTTAGGAGAAGAAGAAACAGAGGTAACTATCATTATCTTCTATGTTTTGTTATACATTTGTGATTGAAGTATGTTTCTCAAATGAAGATAGGTTTCAAATTGACTTTTAACAGTAGCAGTGTTTTCAAAAACACCTATTCTAATTTTTATATTTCCCCTATATCAAACTATATGAAAGATACTCTATCGGTGCAAACTGAAAATAATCAAATTCGACCTTTGTTCTGTGACCCGTAAAGTTTTCCCTGGAGACACTGAGTATTTCCAAATACCTTTGCTTTTTGATTCCCTATTATAAAAATACTACACATTGACCAAATGTATCTAATCTATATATATTTTCAGATTATTCTATGAACTGCAGGCTGAATGTGAATCAGGAAATCACAAGGCAAAGGTCATTATTAATCATGGACCTGCTCTTGCTCTGCTTCGTAAGCCACCAATCGAGTTTAAGAAAATGCCATATGACAAGAGAATTCAGATGCTGAAAGAATGTTGTAACATCAAATTTATGGCAGAATTATACATCATTGGGGAAGAATATGAAGTTGAACCACAGATTCACATGTTTGCAATTTGGCATTCAAAAGCATTTCAACCATTACTGGATCTTAAGCTGAATTTATAAACACTGTCCTCATTTTGCAATCCAAGAAGGTATATGTCTTCTCTTTTTTATTTCAAATACAAGAGTATATTGCTATTTATTAACACAACTGAGGCTTTACATTTAATAATTAGTTTCTACTTCTGTTATTATTTCAGGTGGTTCGTATTGAAGGATGAATCAGCTGGTTGTCTGAGAAGGAATCAAGGCAATGATATCTAGGAAATATGAATTCCAATATTAATTTGTGCATTTCATCTTTTTAGTAGTAGAAAAAATACTTTTTATATTGTTATTGCAATGTAGGTGGTATATTCTGATTTAGAAGAACAGATACTTATGTTATTTCAAGTACATGTATGTTTTTCATTTAGTTTAGTTCTTGGTACGTATTCTGGATGAGGTATTGAAACTTCCTTGATTGTCTAACGGTTATAAGTTTATTGTATTGTCAATGTCAATAAGTCAAAAGTTCGAAATTTAAAAGTGACGATTTTTTTTATTTCAAAATCATTTGATTTAATTTATATTTGTTGTGCTTTACTCAAAACAAATATTAAATTAATTGTGTTAACTACCACACCCCACTCTCCCCATCCCTCCCGGATATTAATCCCACACCCCACATTAATCCCACATAATCTAATTTTTATCTAATATTATCCCGTGTCCAGTTTATTTGATTGCCGAAGATCCACAATAGTTTTGTTACTTTCCCAACTTCCATTCCCTGGTTTTGGAAGAATGGGGATTATCGAATGGTGAACGTGAATTAAAGCTGAATTCAAGAGATGGTGTACCATTCTTTACGTGAGTTGCAGGTTTCTCATGGGCAACAATGGTCTGTTCGAGTGAGAGTTTTGCGTTTATGGAGAACTTTGATAGCTGATATAGATGAAACTCTCTTCCTACACATGTTGTTGCTAGATAGTGAGGTTAGTACGTCTATTGAATTCCTTATCACGTTTCATGTTGTGTATCATTCACCCAATAGACGCTTCTAACCATTCAAGTTTTTGACTTAAAAACGACTTGCAGGGAACAGAAATGGAGGCTGTTATTCATCGCCTTGAAATCCCGACATTCTTACCAGTCATACAACAAGGAGGAATCTATCGGATTGAAAATTTCGATGTTGATTCTTATGAAGTTTCTTTTCGGGTTGCAATGTCTACTAGACGAATCTCTTTTCATCCTAACACTGGCGTATTTCGACTGCCAAATGCTGCCGACATATCATTATGCAGTTTTCGGTTCCTAGGTCCTGCTGATTTCTTTGATGCTGTTCAAAATGATCAAATATTTTCAGGTAAGCAAATGATTAACCAGATAGAGATCTCTAAGTAATTATGGTTGATTTTGTTATTTGAATGATCATAACATTGGTTTGATATGATGTGTAGATCTGATAGGTGAAATAGATGTGGTAGAACCAACACAAACAATTTATCACCATGGTGTTGTTCAACGAAGCAAATATATTTTCCTAAGGCTGTTTGAGTAAGGCGTTTTGATTTGTACTCTAATTTCCTGTGTGTTTGCTTCAAAAAATGGGACTAATGAGATTTTAATTATAGGGGAATTACGGTCAGAGTTTTATTATTCAACTCTTGCATTGAGCAAATTGAGGGTCTAAATGAAGCTGATCCAACACCAGGAACTGTTGCTATCGTCACTTCAGTCTATGCCTATATGAACGATAGTACGTAAATATGTTGATGCGTTACTAATACATTTAATGACCTACTCTAATGAAGTATTTGGTTTTTGTAGATCAATTCTTTTTTATAGCCTCATTTGCAAGTAATGCTTACTTGAATTTGCACTATCCACAGCTTCATATTTTGTTAAATCAGTAAGTTAATTTCTTTATATTTAGGGTTTAATTTTATTCAATTTGGTTAGGATAACTCAATTTATATACATTTATAATTGCATCTTCTTTAGTTGGGATCTAAATTCAACTAATATGTTTATCAGATCTAGCAACCTGCTTATTAGTCAACATGATTATATTGACTATTCATTGGAAGCATCAATGGAAGTGAGTGAAGCAAGTTCTGTTCATGAAATTCTATTTCTATCAACTAATGTGCACAATATGGTAATTTAATACAATAATGTTTGTGTACTTCTTACTTACTTTAGCATTTATTTATATTATCTAAGGAAATTATTTATTTACAAACAGGGAAAGAAATTTGTTATTGAGGCAACAATTGAAGCTGTCGATGTATTTTGGTCACCTACTCTTTAGAAGTATATGGTTGAATTGACATTGAAAGATGGAGTTATGAAAATCAGTGTTGTGTTCCTGTCATCCGACTTTAAGAAAGTCGGCAGCCAGCTCTTTGCAAACCCAAGAATCAATTGGACTACTACTTTTGAAGCCAATCTGCGATCTATTACTCACAGATCTCTCATTTTCATGATTGAAGTTGGACGTGTTAATGAGGTCACAAATCAGTGTCTTTTAGTGGTTAGTAAGTTGTTTGGGTAGTGTTCCTCCCCATATATTTTTTTAGTAAGTTAATGTCCATTTGGTGAACATTTGTAATTGGGTAGGTGCACATTTTAAACTATGTTTCTGATTTGGTACTTTATTAAATCAGGTCTTTTGATGTTTTTTATTTTATGGTTTCCAATTGGACTAATGGAATTCTATAATCGGCCCAAAAATAATCACTAATTTAATCGAGCTAGCCGGCCAACGGGCCGGCCCCTCTGCTAGTTTATATTAGTAGAAATATGTCTCCAGAGCGGGCCCAACCTAGCCCATTGATCCACCAACCACGAGCCTCCATTTTTACTCCTTATTAGTCATCGAGTCGTGGGCGACTCGATAAAACGGTTATAAGCCAGTTGAAAAGCGCCGCGTGTAAAACGAACTGACGACGACCGTTCACAGGTCACATTCATCTCGTTCCCAAATTCAGCAGGCCACAAAATCAAACGCCAAACGATTCCTCTACCTTCTAGTTCTTCTCCTCCTCCATCCGTCGCCGCCGCCGGTTTCGCCATTGATGTAGCCTCGATCGAGTCGCTTCTTACCGCACTCTAGTTTGTCACTATCTGCTGTTCGGGAATTTTTCGTAAACATCTCCCTTGCTTCCTTACCTTCCTTCCACGCCGGGGACATGGCGGCCTCATCGGAGATCAGCGACGGGGACGACGCGGTGGAGCTGATCGTCTGCGACGTCCCGTCATCATCTTCTGTCGGCTCTAACGGTGACGCTGCCGACTCTGTATCGGAGGAAATTACTCCTTTGTTGAAGCAGCCGGCGGAGAAGCCCAAGATCAATATCTTCTCCATCTCTTACCCCCGCCGAAAACCTAGGGTAACTAAATCCTTTCATCCTGGTAATTGTACCATTTGCTAAAGAATTTCTAGTTATCCGTGATTTATTACTGTTAGTGAATTGGTGACGACGCTGTTCTTCCGTTCGGAACTTGGTGGGGAATAGGTTTAGGTTTCTATAGTTTTGTTCTCTTGAATCTTGATTTGGTGTTCCCGTTGCGTAGTGCCAAAGCTCTTATTTCTGTCTAAGTTGAAGAATACTGAATTTTGACGATCTCTGAAGAAAGGTGGGAGGGAAATGAAACAGTGAAATGCACGTATATTCCGATTGCAATGAGGGAATAAGTTCATTACTAATTTTCAATTATGATAAACTTTCTCAAGCATTTCTGCTTCTTATCATACTTTGTATAATGGAAGAACAGGGAGCCAATTTTCGAGTAGTTTGTGTGTGCTTATTGGTTTTCCTTTCTGGTCATTTGAAGGATCATGTTATCAGAGTACCTGAATCCGAGGCTCAAGTATCACAACTGATTTTGTGGCTGTGGGGTGGATCCAGATACTCGGGCATGCTGTGTGTCGCTTTATCGTCATTCATCTACTTTTCTATGGAGGTTGTTTCTGATGTCTTTGCTGGTAAGTAAAAGGATTGTTGTCCTGTCATGGTTGAGTATTTTGTGTCTTGTGTTGCTGTTATGGCAGTCCAGACAGTTTCTTTTTTGACCATCAGTCCAGACAGTTTCAGCATAAACACTTGAGAACTTTAGATCCATTGCAAAATTAATACTTCGTCTAATATGTGTTGATATTGTACCTCCCTTTTAGTAGAAACTATGCAATACTGCAGAGTCATCATCAGATAAACAAATAAATTCATGATATGAATTTCAGAAACTTGTGCATGGTTACCTAAAATCTGTGGTAGTAGGAATATTTTCTTCTATTTCACTCTGCCAGCATCATTGGAGCCTGAGGCTTTTCCTTTGGGTGTTTCTAGTTGCGTTATGCTACTGTATTCACCTTAACATCAGGTTCACTAATTTAATGGCAGCTCAGTCGATTCCTTTATTCGAGACTGCATTTGCTAGGTGCACAATACTATTGGTTCTGTCATATTTGTGGTTGAGGAGAACTGGACAACCTATGTTTGGACCACCACTTTCCAGGAAACTCTTGATTTTAAGAGCCCTGATGGGGTATTTGTCACTATCGAGCTTTATCTACTGGTGAGCTTCACCTTCATGTGGTTACTTCTGAAGTTCATATAAACATTTTAGTGGTTGTCCTTTCTAGTGGTAGTTTATGACTGAATATCAGCAACTTTTCTCTTTCAGTGTTCAACGGTTGCCTCTATCTCAAGCCATAGTATTAAGTTTCACAACTCCCATAATGGCTTCCATTGCAGCAAGAATTGCATTTCTTGAGAAGTTGAAAATTGCTGATATTGCAGGTCTGCCAATTTTTCTCTAACTGCTTGCGTTGCTTAGAGTGTGAAAATGTTGTGATTTCCTTACCGACATTCTTTTTCCAGGTCTGGCTTGCAACTTCTTTGGAGTGCTCTTTATTTTCAGACAGAGCTTCACTGCACAAGGTAGAGATGTGAGTTAACAAACCTCCTGTAGCGTGCTGATATACGTTCCCACTAAACATGCTAAGAGCATAAGAACCTATAGTACGGTTTCTTTTTTAAGTTCTTACGACAACGGATGCTCACTCTCACACGTACCATACCGTTGCTTTTCCATGGTATAAGCAGGTGAGCTAGTTAGAGCCGGTTCAGCAAGTGCTGCCAATTTGAAGGGAATGCATTATGTATATGCAATAATAGCTGGTCTTTTCTCATCCGTTACTGGTGGAATCAGCTACTGCCTCATAAAAGCTGGATCTAAGGCCTGCGATCAGCCAGTGTAAGACTTCACTTTTCGGATGTATCAAATTTACCTTCAATCAGTTGCCCTTTCACGTTCACTTAGTTTGGAGCGTAGAGAGATTTGAACCCTATGCTTCTTGCTTTTCCCAGGACCACTGTGTTTTCATTTGGTATTCTGGCCTCCCCTGCGGCCCTAGTCTGTATGTTCATTTTTGAGGTAAGATCAACAACGGAATGTGCTACATTTCTAATACGCTAGCATTTTGTCTCCCAAATATCTGTGGACACTTTGTTGTACATAAATCACTCTATTATCTTGCATCAGGAATTTGTTTTGCCAGAGCTGCGTTCCCTCTTCCTTATGCTTCTTCTTGGTGGTCTCGCCTTCTTAGCTGAGGTACATTTCCCTTGAAAGACTATGCAAAACAGGGATTCTCTTTTTGTTTTTTCCATCATGGGTTCCTGACTTGGCTTGAACCTGCTCTCTTGGGAATTTTTCCTTCTTCTGTTATATCTTTTAGGTGTTTTTAGCCCGCGGCCTACAGCTTGAGCAAACTAGCAAAGCTGCAAACTTTCAATACACTGAGGTACTGCTTTCTTAATCTCTCTCTCTCTCTCTCTCACACACACACACGCATGGTCTCCTTTACAAACCATACTAAAATTCTCTTGCTGCTTTTCCTTTTTCTCGTATTGTTTCTTAGGCTGCATTCACAGAGCTCTGGGGGATTGCTTCATCGACAATACTTCCCTCTTTTGGCGGACTCATTGGGTGTTTACTCATATTAGCTTCAACTGGATGTACCATATACATTGGCCCTGATAAAGACATGGAATGAATGAATGAATGATGACGACGATGATGATTGCTGAGAAACTTCAACAGTTTAATTTTTCGTTCTTCCTGAATTCATGCACCCAATTTGTAGCCGGTCATAAGTTTTGATTTGCAACTTCCAAGGTTTATTCGATTCTCATTTTTTTTCTCAACGTCTCGAAATTTATGTTAAAAGCTCTTGAAATACAAGTATACTGTGTCTGTGGACCCGTCAAGATTCATGAAGTTTAAACAAGCTGTTGTTTAAGTTCCAGAAAGCAAATCTTGGCAGTAGTTCGTTCTATTTACACCAAGCGCCTAATTCACCTCATTGCATTACAAGTGCGTTTGGTTCTGTGTGGTTATTCAGCAAGTTTATCGGCGTTCGTAATGGTTTAACTAATCATCGGTAATAATTGAAATTTGTAGGGGAGCGCCATAAACTTTCAGAGATTGAACTTCAGTGATTGAATTTGTAGGGGTTTCACGCCTAATTAGATACTAGAGCACGTCAATGGAGTAAGGCGACATATAAGTCTCTCCTGAATATTACTAGATGGAGCTAGAAAATCAATATTAAACAAGAAAATTAACTGTCAACTATGAAATAAATTTTCTATATCAATATTTTCAATGGCTCAAGAACTTTGTGAGCTATTGAGCTATTTTTTTATAAATTCGTGAGCTATGTACTTGTCATTAAGTGTTGAGTAGGTTATTAATCATTTTAACTAAAGTGAGAAAGTGTTGTAGATTATTATTTCACTAGCTTATTACCCGGCCCGTTGGCCGGATTACTGTATGTTACCCACTTGTGGAATGGGAGAGAAAGCAAGTGAGAGTGAAGGGATTAGGATTCCACTTGATTAAGACCGACCCACTAATCTGATTCTTCCCGACCTGCCCCAACCTAAAGGGTCAGAAAGAGTTAATAAGAAAATATGAACGGAGAGGATTAGTCATATATCTTGACTCTTCAGAAGTGGGTCAAACAGGATCAAGGTTGGGTGAGGGCAATTTTAGCGCTAAGCAGAGTTCTGGGTTGAATAACTTTACTTAGGCCTAGAAATTGGTGCTGATGCAGACTGCAGTTTTTATTATACCATCATCAATCATCATTGAATTAGTTCTGGGCATCCCTCCCCGTTGTCGGTCTGAATTCTAATGATGGCTTCATTCCTTGCACCAGCCATATCAGCGAGTTGTCATCTCGAGCATGATTTGCCTATGTACAAATGATACAATTAGAGTATGAAACTGAATTCAAAGAATAGGAAAAGAGAATTCTATCACATGCCAATAAATACACACATAATAGTTGAAGCTAAGTGAAAGTCATTACTCGCACATCAATTCTCAAAAATTACAGACTAAACAATGGCTAGAATGGCACTGAAACTACCAAGAATCATGGACGAAACAACTTGTCAAATTAAATAATCCTTATACTGAAACTACCTTCTAACTTGAAATAAGACATGATCACAGTTCATAGCATTCTTAGCACTATGAATTGGTTGTAGCTCGTCCTTATCACTGCCTCCCAAGCTCAATTCAAACAGAATAGAGACCGTTATGTAAGATAACCATATCCTTACTGATCATAATTCCTTTCTTCACTCCATTTTTGTCGGAGAAAAGAGTTATCCCCCTCTCCTGCATTTCTCTTTCCCCCTCTCTTTCCCCTCTTCTTCACAAACCGATCCCTAAACCAGCAACAACAACACAAAAATAGCCTTCGCCTCTGCCATCTCCATCTACTGAACGCGTTGGTGGCAAGACAGGACTGCAGAAGCAAAATTTTCTAAAATCAAACTAAATTTTTTGAAGGAGACTCAACCACGAAAAAAGAGTAAAGCAACAATACTAATAGTTCAGATGGTTGGTTTTGATGTTATACGTTGTTTTTGTTATGGTCTCCAGTATGTCAACTACAACAAAGATGTTTCCTCCAATCATCTTTAATGAACGATTTAGAAGTAAGTCCTCTTGTTTGTGTCAAATGGAAACATTCATGGGTTCTTAACTCCCCTGTTAGTGTAAATGCAGCAGCAGCAGAAAAGAAGTTTGACAACACAGCAAGCACCCAGGCAAAATGATACAATGCAGTAGGTGATATGTGTCTCGAAGGTTTTGAGTTACTAAACTCCATGTTAAAAATAAACATGAATTAAAATAGATTATTCTATTAAGCAAACATCCCCTCTAATCATACAAAGATCAGATATCCAATTCACAAACAATTAAGCCATAAAAAATCATCACACATCCACCACCTTTGATTGCCTAAATTTGGTTTTTCGCAAAGTTATGGACTCTTAAGGGTAACGTTCATGGGTAGTCTGTTTCATAACTCTAGAGAGCACAGTAAGCAGCCACCAGCCAGACACAGTGCGGTAGGCGAATATGATTCTCAATTCACAATTTCTCACCACCAGAAGTAAGAACATGCCATAATAAGTGTAGCGTTCATGGGTGGTCTGTTTCATAGCACTACTACACAATTTGTTAAAAAGGAAAGAAAGGTATTTAGCATCACGGCGGAACAACTTTTACAGGACAACAACGACAACATGCTGCAACCACCAGAACTGGTATCACAACTCATAGGGAAAATCAAAAGATTTACTCTCAAATTAAGTAGTTACAACATCGAGCAATCGTCAAGCACATACACCATCACAAAAGTCACGGAACCTGATTCACAAAGCATTCAAACATTTGAGGACATTTCTGCAAAGGTACAACTTATATGTCTTTTTTCCAAGCCATTTCCATCAACATGCTAATAAATTTGCAATGCATAAAACAAACGGGCCAAAACTTGAAATTCAGCCTGTTTGACCGGCCCATGCCAAATTCTAATTATTCTTTACTTTTAAAATTTCTATTTGAAAATAAAAAATAGTAAAAGAAAAGAGACGACTACAATTCGCCATTTGCACATCACTTATTCGGGAATAAAACCATAGAAATTCAAAAGGAACTGAAAATGTTTAGGATCGTTTTAATGTTTAAAATAACCAAATAAATCTTTATGTTTAGTTTTTTACTAACAAATACCAAACGATTCCCTATAAAACACACTATAATTTGATCAATATGATGTCAAATAATTATAAAATATATATTTGAAATGATAAAAATTGGAATAATTGGGTTGGTCGAGGTTGAACCATTGAATAACTTTAAAATACATTATATTTTAGCCACTAAGATATAAAATAATAGCATAATATATATTATGCCAAAGAAAATAGCTTGTTTTAGAATGACAAACCAATGATGTTCATTTGTTTTACTTGATGGCCAAATCTCATGTAGGTCAGGCTCATTCAACTCTTTTATTTTATGGTTAGCGGTTAGCCCATTAGATACCATGAATTAGTTTATTGTTAAATTTTTTATTTTTAACAATAAAAGGAGTATTATTTTTGCCTTTTCATATATATTTTATCACCAAGGAGAAATAAAAGGGTATAACGAAAAAATTGACACTCCTAGACCCGTTTAAATCCGCATGTGTACGGTAAGTTGGCCCGTTCCACAGAGGAAAGAGAAAAAATTGGTACTCCCTATTCTACCCTTCCTACAAACGCTCCTGGAGCAGGGAATTTGAAATGGGGGAAGAGTTTTTTCCACCCTGCTATTATATGTTTTTAATTTAAAATGATACAACAAATGTACTTAGTGTGATTGGTTATGAACCTTGCCTTTCTTTAAAATGGTCATGGTTCAAATCCCAGTATGTATCTTTTTAATGAATTAAAAAAAATAATTGTGAAGACCAAAATGTCCTTCCTACATTCACTCTCGTTGCAGGAAATTTGAAATGGAGCTCCCGTTTTTCACTTCGGTGTATTATAGTATGTGTAGATTCATCATGCAGTGAGAATAGTCATTTTTCTTCCAACGCCTAGGCACGCTTAGTCTACGCCTAGACGAGCTAGGCGCTAGGCAAAACCTCAACGCACGCCTTACGCCTATCGCCTTTTTGAACCTTCATTAGATATGCTTATCCAATCTTTCATCCACCGAATATAATGACACAAAAATAGGTGTTTTCATTCCACTAATACTAGGTGTTATCATGATTAATTGATCATAATTGCATTCTAAATGATTGCATTTTAGTCTAAGATTGCTTCATTTCTATCATGGACAGGTTATGGTCGTTGAGTGCAAGTGTTTAGGTGAAATCAAGTCGAATTGGGTACAAGTGTAGGGTGTTGACTGAAATCTAGAGATCACAACAGTAGGTAGAAAACCACGACTGTGATCCCTAATCTTCTTCTGAGTTCAAGGGAAGTTAAAACAAATCACATCCCATGATCTCGATGATCAGGCCGAGAATGCTAGCAAAAATAGCCGGAAAGAATCAGAAGGTATCACGGTCTAATTCATGGGTGAGTCTCTCGTCGTGATTTCATGACCACGACAGTGACTTGAGAGATCATGGCAAGGAAATCAAAAGCCATGATCTTCAAAATCAATAGTCTAGTCAACCAGAGTAGAGTGGGGCTGTTGAGGAAGTTCACGGTCTGGAATAGACCGTGAACTCGTCTATCACCTGGGCAGCTGGGCTATAAATAGTAGACTCAATTTCAAGAGAAGGGGATTTGCCATCCTAAAATTTCCATCACCCTAGAAAGAAGAGAGAGGGCAAGGATTAGCACTTGCAGAAGAGAGGAATGCTTGGAGAAGAAGTGTTCACCTCTTGGGAAGGCTGAAGGCTGACTTTACAATTGAAATCCTTCAAGAAGATGGCTCTTCTCTTCCCCTTTTCTTCCTCTCATGGGTTAATTCCATAGATACTTTTTTTTTTATGTTGGTGACATAAATTACAAAGACAGATACACAGAGATTAAAAGGCAATTACAGAGAAGAACAGAAAGAAACCAGAAAATGACGACCAAATCAAAAGCCAGGCGAAAGAAAGAAAAGAAAAAACAAAGAGCATTGACCAAAAAGGCAGGGCAAAACAAGATCCACAGTCAAGCGGGGGCGATAACGAAGCAGCAGCAGACCAGTCACCGATTTGTTGTAACAGATCTTTCGTCAGCAGCTTCTCCAAGCTCTCTCCTTCCTGGCACGAGCTGGACTTTCAAAGCTCTGAACCACGTTCCGGCAGTCTACCGATCAACTTTCCCTGCACTAACCAGCCAACCAGTTATCTGACATCCAATATTATAACATACGACGCGAGGTGGGGAGGTTCTGTCTTTGAAAATCCTCAAATTCCTTTCCTTCCAGATGCACC